GAATAAGGACTTTAACCTCTTGTGCCATTCAGTTGGTCATGACGAGTTGCAGACGCCTTGCAGGAACGACCTGTCGTCGCCGGATTGCGATTCCGAGAAGATTTTTCTAACAGGAACTGATCGCAGAACGAGTGCAGGAATCGATAGACCGGAGCGAAAAGAATTGAGACGTTTAAATTTGATCTAATGGCGATTGCAGGAATTAACAGAAATCTCAAAGTGAACTGTTATCACACAAATTTTAATTACATTTTGCAAAAACCATAGACAATCTATGCTACTCTTGTATTGCTATTTTTTTATATAATAGTCGTAAATATGTAACATTTTTGTTCACATTTGTAAAATTTATAAAATGTTTATTATATAGAAATTCTTCGTGATCTGTGTGTTGCTGTACAAAAAGTACATATAATCACTAAAATATCTATTGTAATTTGAAAATGGTTATTTCTACCTAGAGCAACCACTCTTTTTCTTTTAATTTTGAGCAGTATTACTATTGTTAATTGTCCTGGTAATAAAAACATCCAAGTTTTTGTGGTGTAGGTAGATATGTCAAAAGTTTTATCAGCCCTGCTATTCTAAAAAAAGAAGTATTTATCTGAAATTACGGTCGTAAAAACTTAAATTTTTGGTGTATTTCCTTTGTTTTCGAGTTATTTTGACCAAAACTAACCTTGTCCATCGTTATCGATTCCAAATAAAAATTTAGAGTAGCGACTTTACGAGAATCCATGAATAATTTCATGAATAATTCAGAAATTTCTGACAAGAAATTATGATGTAGTTGTTGAAAAATGAAAAAACAAATACTTTTTGTCTCTTAAACTTAGACTGACGTGATTGGCCGAGACATCGTTTGCGTAATACTATCGTAACAATACAACAAAGAAAAAGAGCAACCAGATGGTAATTACAACAATTCACTACCATGGCAAAATAGCAGCTTTGGCAATGAACTCAAACAATTCAACGTCATTGGCGAATGTTAACCTGTAGTTTACGAACGGAAACAAAAGTAATTTTATCACAATAAATGTAAAATTAATTCGTAATTGCACAAAAAAGTCATAAAAAGAAACGAATGACAAATTTTGATAGTTCTTTGACCTTAGAGCAGAATCTTTATGTAATGACGCGATTCTTGCATTAGATTAGCCTTTGAATAATTTATTAAAAATTCGTGAATGTGTTATGAGCACGGAATTTTGGAAGGTTCAGGGCCGTTATGCATTTGTAAATAAAATCCCAAAACATTCTATTTTTACCGCATTATTATTATTTTAGTTTTACCTATTACTCTTAATTGCCATTAGTGTTATCATTATTATTATCAGTGTTAATGAGTCACACGTTCGTGTCGTCAGCCAGCGTTGATATCTCCGATTTCGATCCTATGAACGAAGCGTAATAAGATCTCGGGCGCTCCTGGCCCAGTCCTGGCCTTGACATTGACTGTCACCACATTCTCCGGGGGGCCCTCGCGAGGCTCGCTCGCCTCGCCTACGACCGTCAATCCCTCTCAACGATGAGAATTCGGGTGCGAATTGTGCAATGGTGGTCATTGGCATCGCAGGTCACTCATTGTGTCGCACAAAGTGCTTTATAATGGCAGATCGCTGTTAACTGCTTTTTAAACACGCTGGAAGCGGGTTACGAGGAAGTTCACTTAAGTACGCGGAAAAAGCATGTAAGCGGTGCTGGAACGGTGGGTGGAGATGGGCGAAAACGCCGCCGAATTTGGGGAGTGATGTAAGATTTGGGCGGCCTTGTTTTCGATCGATGCTGCGCGCTTTTTTCGTTTCGACGAAATTCGGAGCGTCAAGGAGTGCTCCTTTTTAAATTATTCAGCTATTGTTTACATCAGAGTTGAGTTGGCAGCGGGATCGATGCAAAAAACCGGCAGGAATGTTAAGCCGCGTTCACATGATGCGACTTTTTTAACATAGTGGAACATTAGTTGATGGCAAAAAGAGACAATTTATGCATTTTCCTGCTGAGTTTCAAACGCTAAAGACAAATCATAAATGGTTTCATGATTGTGGAGAAAATTATACCATAACGGATTAAAGCTATTTCCTGCTGAAAAAATGTAATTCTTGAAATTGCGAGTAATAATGAAACAAAAATATTAATGTTAAAAATCGATGATTGTTATTCCTTTCAACAAACAGTAGCTCAATGTGTTAAAATATCTGCTCTTGATATACTCGTATTGCGTCATTCCAACAATAATTTATTGGTAAAAAAGAACATTGTTATAAATTAACATAAGTAAATATTTTCTCCAAATTTCTGTGTAAACAAATGAATAACGTTTCAAGCGAAAAAACTGAATCCAGTTATTGTTCAAACTTATTTATAAAAATGTGTCAAAAACTTGCAAAACGATGGTATGACGTTTAAGGATTTTGTGGAAAATTACCCTTAGAAACAAATTCTATTTTGGAGTTGTTTCTGTTGCTTACGAAAATTGTAAAAAAAAAACTAAATAACGTCAAAAAATTGTTTAGATTTAGTCATTGAACCTATTATGCTCGGAGTTGGTCAATTCGACTACCAAATTAATTTAATCCTCTTACGGTAAAAGTTGAGGATTAAGAAGACAAGTTAATTCGACCACCAATACCTGCAGGAGGTTTGAGATTGATAAGAGGTCAAATTTAACTTGGAAAATTCAATTACGGTCACATTTTAGACTTTTAGTTTGCTTTGACGAAAGCGGTTTGTTATTAGCATTAGCAAATCAAGGAGCGCAAAGAAGAAAAAAAGGTTGAAAGTAAAGTAAATTATGCTAATCAAAAAATTCATGAATATAATGTGAAAACAAAAACTAAATTCACATTTGTTAAATCAGTATGTAGCAATGACTTGCCAAATTCATTTAAATTAAATAAAATAAAAATGGTTTCGTTTACATTCACTTGATATATATTTTTTATTTTATCCTCCCCAAAGTCCAAATCCAACAGATTTAAACTTTCTGTTTATTACCGAATTTTAATCTATGCTAAATTTTATCTATCTCCTTTATTAAGTTAATCCTTTGGATTTAATATCGTGGATAAACTGACGGTAGATTTTATAGACACCTACTGGCGTGGTCGAATTAACATACGCTCATCATGCTATAGTTACCACCAACTACTCAGTATGTCCCCGGATTCAGTTTATAAGAGAAAAACAATTATTATCTTTGATTATACGCTACAATTTCAAAGGAATAGCATTTTTAACTTAACCTGAAAGGAGCAAATCTGTAATTAAAACTTCATTATTCTGATTCAGTAGAATTTTTTTCTTGATTTTGCATTTGGAATAATTTTTCTCTGCCTTTTAAATCTCATCACATTAATTGGCGGTTTGACAACGATGTTACTTTGACGAATTAATTGAATAATGATTGTTCTTGTTAAAAATGACGTTGTATTTGTTATCTTAAAGCTGTTTTTTGAGTTGTTATTAATTAAAATTATGTTTTTCATAAACATTTTTGTTATTTAACTTGCATAAACTCATTTGTCAAAGTCACTTCGTTGTCAAAAAAGTAAAATCGCCAATGTGATGGGATTTAAAACGCAAAGAAAAATAATTTCAAGTCCACAATCAAGATTAAAATGAACTTTTCTTTCTACTGAGTCAGAATAATGAAGTTTTAATTTTAATTTTGTTTTCGTGTAATATTATAGCAATAATTATCAAGCTTACGCATGATTCTAATATCAATTTTTTTCTTTATAAAAATTCAGTCTATTAAAGTAATTCATAATGTTCAGTTGCAACTATAAGTATAAAAACATCGTTATAAGTTTTTCGTGCAACTTCCACAAACACGACTTGAACTAAAAATTGTTTAGTAAAAAAACGCGACAATACTAGACGTTTTCTTGTTTTTGATCAAAGTATCAGATCACATGTTATTTTAAAATTAGGTTTGCAACATTGATTAAATTAAAGCCAGAAATATGAAATTTGACATCATCTGTTTTTAAATTTTTAGTTGCCAACTTAATTACAAATAATAATCATAAATCTTACATTCTGAAGTTACACTTATTACTTGTTCCATTTTTAAATTTAAGAAACCAAACATCCGTTTGTGTTTGTTATAAAGTCGTTTAGGCCAATTTTTCAGATATATTTTTAATACTTGTGATAATGTTTGTGTTCCAACAAATTCGATCTATTCAAGTTCTATAAACAATAATGTAAAAAGCCACAATTAAAGTACAAGGCGTATAATATTTAAGATTTTGACGTATTTTTATTTATCGTTCCTTATGTTACAAGCCTTTTCCAGCTCCAAAATTCCATGTTGTAACCTTGCTTGAAACCCGTCGCAACTATAGCACCTGTTAAAAGCTGCTGAAAATAGTTAAACCGTCGCAACGGTGATGTTTGTTTATGTCGTACATGCACGGTCACTTGTAGTAACCATGACATTAAATGGAACTATTACCAACACCTTAGCAACTATGATGTAAATTCCTGCCCGTCCAAGGTACTTGCCGTAACCGCACAATTTGGTCCTTTCCACGATAAAAGTGGTAATGACATCGCCATGTGCTTGATCCGTTACAAATCCAATTGAAAGCAATCCAGGAAGATCAAAGACCTGCTCTGCCATCACTAACCATGTGTGAAACGATCAAACAGCCTTTGCAATACTATCATAAACAATGTCGATTGCGTAACGTTACCACTTAATTAATTACAGTTAGATTTTCGCGAGTGTTTGAGTTTGTCAATGAAGTCCGAATCGGGCGAGTTTGGCGGATTCGGGCACCTGCACCCCGCTTGTCCTTGGCGAGGGTTGCGCAAGAGAGGGTGGGACGTCGCGGACAGGTAGCAGACGGAGCCCCGCCGCTGTTGCCAATGCCAAGCAAGTTCGAATGGGTAACCTCTACGGGTCGGCGTGCGCGGGCCGCGGGGGGCCGAGGGGGGACACAACGGTTCACATCGACTTTACTTCTTGCGGTCATCAGTCTTCACAAGGACCTGATCGGAGCCTGATGTCCGCGTGTGTACAAGTGCGGTGTTTGTGTTTCATTTTTGTGCAGGATTACTAATGACTTAAGGCACAATGCCGAAAATATTCCTTATAAAAAATCGGATGCAACTCTTGCTCGAGTCGCAAAATGCGGCCAATGCAAAGAATGAGTCCAACGAGATCCATGAGCCACAGCCTTTGTCGCTCATAGTCTTGAAGAAGGAAGGTAAGGGTGGCTTATCACCAATGACGCGTCTAATGCGTTTTATCACCGTACCGTTAAGTCCAAGAATGTTATTAATCACCCTAAATGCGGTCTGGAGGGGGCCGAGGCCGAATCAAACACAAACATAACTGTTCCAATAGCGTTAAAAGCTCTTTGTGGCGGAGACTTCGACGCACGATCAGACGCGAAACCTAGCCTTGGCGAGGGGTAAAAAAGCCTCAAGGCCACGCGAGACGAAACAATGCTTCATTATATTCATACTTGCGCAATAACCGAACCGAAGGACACACTCATGCCGGTTGTAACCGAGTTCAAGGCCGGCTTTTCTATTTCAATTACGATTACGAAAGTGTGTGAGGACTTTCTCCGGTGATATAAGTGATGTTATCGGGGCGCTTTCTGGGTCATTATCACGGAGAAAGAGTGAAACACGTGCAAGATGCCGGTTTGAACAAACTAATAAATTGGAGACGACAATGAATGCCCAGACAGAAGTTTTCACTTTTTAAATTCAGAGAGAAGTAGACCATGAAATGATCCGGACCCTTTTGTGTGAATGACCCACTTTTCAGCCAATGTTAAAACCAAACTTGCTGAAAAATACAATTCCTGAAAATTTCAGGATTGTGTAATTTTCTATCAAAACTGTTTCGTAACCTGTCCGTTATTTTTAAATATCAAGTGTCAAATTATCAAATATTGTCACATCTTGACCAATCTGTGATAAATAAATTGACAACCTCACATTCTTCGGTATTTTCATAAGATCAAAAGCCTTTGAAAGGTATTGAAAGACCGCCAATAAACCCACTAATAAAGTAACAAAATTCTTTGCTTTTATTGCTTTCTGCCTGAATTCTATAGATGAAACGATGACAGTCCACTGACCTTTTGCCTGAAATTGAAAGCGAAAATGTAAATCATTGGTCATAAAATTAATAACTTCGAGCGATATTCGGTCCCTTCTTGAGGTAAACAGTTGACAAACATTTGAAAAACGGACACACTCATAAATGGTAGTGACGCAAAAACGTTGCAACCATAAACATGCCATAAATCATCCTATGGGTAATAACTTCTACTCTGGTAGTGATGTAAAAATGTATTCAGTGATTTGAAATTCAAAAATCTCTCCGAAATGTGTTTTTAACCGAAACAGGTCATGGCCACAGTTTCAAATTGGTTTTAACACATTATTTGTTTCATCAATTCGAGTAATAAAAAACAAAAAAAAATACTAAGCAAGAAAAGTTGTTATTAAAAAAGGCAAAATGCCATTGCCCATTAATGGGTTCGTGATAACTAATGTAGCTAATTATGATTGCTTCTAGTTCTTTCGAGTTCTTTTCCACCTGCATCTGTTGAAAACCTTGGGTTTGAAAAAATTAGAATTTATTAAAAAAAACAAAGCCGTAATGAAAATCAAAACGCAGACAAATCTTTAACAAAGCAATTTATTCGTGAAACTCATTACAAAGGTATGTTGATCCTGCTGTAGCAGGAAATGTCTAGTTATATTATTAAAGAAGAGGCTTGCAATTTTCCTTTTTGTTTTACCGCTTCTCTTACAACAAAAAATATAACTTTGGTGAGCAGATTGCTGTAACAATAAATTTAAATTATTTCAATTCCTGCAATAATTGTAATTTTCAAAACACATTGTTCAACTTTGTTACATTAATCAGTTTATTTGATACATAACGGAATTTGCCTTTGATTTGTTTGTGGTCGAATAAGAGTAGTGTGGATTCTGCTGTAAAAAAAGTTATTATTAAAGAATAAGTTTTAAAATGTTACTTTAAAGAAACTATGATTGATTGAAACATGATTAACTTTGTTCTAATTTTTATTTATAAATGATTCATGTTTTTGTCATAACATTTACTGCATAGTCCATTTACAACTGGTAACGTTTTATCTAAGTAAAGATAACGGATTTTGCGATGAGCTCAAAACAATGTTGTCAGTCCTGTCGTTGCAGGAAATGTGTATTTGTATAGTTATCGAATAAAAATTTTACAATGTTGCTTTTTACATTAGCATTATAGCGTTCTCTTGTGAACTGTGACAAAAAGTTTATCGTTAGAAATAATATGCAGATCCTGCTACAGCTGAAACAAAATTCTAGCCCAAAATAAAATCTAGTATTCACGAATGTTATTTTTAAGTTTCCCATTAACAAATCGTTCATTTTTACAACATCGAAATTAAATTTTTTCATTATGTACAAAATACAGTTTAGTCAATCCTGCCGAAACAGTTAGTATGTTAGTATTATGGAACAAAAAACTTAGGAACAATTTTGTTTTACCGACTTTGTTACAGAAATAATCAAAACCTTTTAATTGCTGCCGTGTATTTAAAAAACTGTTAAAATACTCCCGAAATAAAACTATTAGCTTTTGGGTCTTTTTTATACACTAAAAATTCAATTTTTTTCGACTTCCCTTTCAGGAAAATCATTTCAGCCGTTACAAAAACTTTTCATTTAATTATCACTTTTTCCAACGCTTTTCCATGTTTACCAATTGACTATGTTTGCCTCACAGCAACCAGCCACAATTCCTGTAATTCTCGTCTTACTTCTCTAATTCCTGCAACAGCAGGAACGCGCCAAACGAGTCTTTTACTCGATTTTAAAACCACTTTAGACAAAAATATGAAAACTTGTCACGATCCATAAACCCACAATTCCTGCTGTCGCAGGAATAGGTAACCAGCCGAAAATCGTTAAGTCTCGTTGACACAGTTACAATTACGGTTCGTATGTCCTTGGTAACGTTAAAAATCGTCTCGTTTGCGACGAGGCCATGTCTGTCACATTGTAATCACAAATTTAACAGGTGAGATAAAGCCGCGCCGGATTATAATAAAGGAATTCAATTAACCTTGCGGTCGGTGAGAGCCGCGCACATTTCTCAAATTGTCTTTCACCATCTCGGGAAAATTCAACTTCGTTATCTCCAATCGATAAATAATTAATAATACGTCGAACAATCCCCTTATAAATCATCGCAAAGCTCGAGTTTTTGCCTCGACGACTGGCTTCGACCATTATTTTTTCAAGATGACGATAATGGCATTGAAACCGTCTTAGGGCGACTATGCAGATTTTTCATCCGATTTCAAACTCACGGACGGCGCGCTACAAATAAAAATCGCGCACGTTTCCTGAATTAAATTTCCATTCTGTTATATAATTTTGTTGATCGTAACGGATTTCGACGATCCGTCAAGGTTCGCAACGTCGGGTCGTCGAACGCTCATTTCAAGGACAAGTTTGACACGGTTACACGCGCAAAAAAATTTGTGTAATTTTACATTTCCATTTGCCATAGTTTTACACAAAAATGTATTTTTACAAAATTAACTGGATATTACTTTAAACGTAAAATGTACTGTTTTACTTGCAAAAAAATTCTATTTTCTGAGTAAAACTACATTTTGTAGCAGATTTTTTTAAATACACTAAATTTTTGCTGCTGTGGTTTAACTCTTGATGAAAATCTTGATCCAAATATTGAATAACTATGTTTACGTTTGATGTGATTTTGTAACGCCCGAAGTAAAACTCAATTGAAGTAGTTTTACACAATATTGTGGAGTGCGTGAACACTTGAACAAAATCACGTGATACGCCACTGGCAGACGTATCAATTAGCGCAATTTCAAACAACCGCTCGCCGATGTAACCTTGACTTTATAGCCCCCTCTCATCGTCCCATTATTTGCAAGTAAATTCAAAATTTTAACGGTAAAACCAGGGTAAAACTATAGCGATTACACGACGAAGCCCACAACAAAACCGATAAAAATTCTTAAACGGATGAGGGTCTGAAGACACCTTCGCAGGACCGGTTTGTACCCTGCAGGTGGTGTCCTTGAAACAATCGAGGGTTACTTGATCTGACGTCACGCCTTTTTAACCCAATTAGAAATGCGTTTTCGTTTGAATAAACATCATTGGTATGGATATCACACGACGAGAAGCACGATGAATAATAAATTGACGGTGGGAACGGAACAACGGCGACGCCATCTTGAAATAAATCGTTCAACGCGGAGAAGTATTAAACCAATTTGAAACAAATAATTTTTTGGGTATTTAAAGGATTATCAAAAATAAAAGGCCAACAGAACTGTATTAACGATAATAATAAGAATAAAACGTTTTTTTTAACGAAGAAAACTAAAAAAAGTAATTTGCAGTGTTTTCATGAACTAGTTGGTGAAATAAGTTACAAGACACTGCGCGGTAAAAAGAATATCTCGCTAAATTAGAATTTTTACTTTAAAATATTTTTTTTACATTTTGAAGTGTTAAAATGTTAAGGTTTAAATTGTTATAAATAATCAAATGAGAATATGTGCAAATTGGTGTTGAATATCTCTCAAAATGTTCGTCATCTTAATATATTTTCAACTAACCAAACATAAATCTCTTATATACTACATACACCCCCTAACATAATACATACAAACACAAACTAAAAACAATTCTTAACACTTCAGAAAACGCCCTTAAACAAAAATAATCCGAAGTCTTCCACATAAGTTGTAAATCCGAATTTTACAGAACCAAAACACATCATAGGTGCAAAATTGGCGGATGATTTCAAGCGCATGAACGTAACAGTACACAATAAACAGGCATAGGCATGTATTTTGAGTACACTTAAAAAACTCAATCTATCGATGGAAAATCTATACAGGATATGTCAGAACTCGCGCTTCAGAGAAAAATTTCAAGTAAGATAAGATAATAGGAACATGGAAAAAATGTTTAAAAAATCCTATCTGTCAAAACATTATGCCACTTATTTTTTGACATTTGACAATTTTTTATGTCTATTTAATGATATTGATGATCTTGTATATGTGTTTTTATAATTATTTAGTAAAGGTACAAAAATTTTGCCAATAAAATCCACAAATAAGTTACAATTTAGAATACAGCTTCCTTCTAATAGCCTTTAGCAAAAAAACTTGGAAAATTAGTCGAAGTGCAAAATTTAAACCCTCATAACTTCAAAATTTTTATAGATAGAATTTTTTTAACATTTTTCCATGTACCTGGTATCTTACTTTACATGGCATTTTTCTCTGGGGCGCGAGTTTTAGCGCACCCTGTATAATATAGCAATTTGCAGTAATTGTCACAAAATAAACCAAAAGCAAATTTCAAGTTACAATAATCAAAATGTGCAAAATCATACATTGTGATTCAGAAAATTCCTGAAGTCGATTTTAATACATTAAAATATATTTTTGCAATCTGAGATGACTTTATATTTTTCTCGTTCTATGGCCGATTTAGCCTCCTCCTCGACACAACTTCGTTGCATCATGTTTTATAAATAAGATGCTAATTAACAGGTGTGAATGACCACGAATTCCGCTCGGTTTCAGATCGTGGCGAGTCAGAAGACGATGGCAAGAGCAAACCCAAGAAGTCACTCGAGCCTCCTCGTCGCTTTACATCCTCAATTTTGGGGGGTGATGTGCCTTACGGTAGTCGAGGTCATGTTCTCACTCGAGCTGAACGTAAAGAATACGCCCCCATCGTACCCCCGGACAAAGTCACTCTTCCTGTTTCAAAGAAACCGGAAAACACTCCCAAACCACAAAACCTAGCTCCCGTACGCCAGTTCTCCGTTATTCAACGAACTCCAAAAACAACCAAACGAGATGAAGACAAAGAAGCAAGACTTCCGACAGCCCCCTTGGTCATACAAGAACCGGAACAGGAACAACCCATAGACTATCACATTCCGAAGAGGCGGGGCGAAACGGAAGACGAAAATGAAGAGAAGAGAATCCGAGAGCAGAGACGGAGTCACTGTTCTAAAGTGAGCAAACCGCTAATTTCAGTCCGGGCAATTGTTGGAAAGCTGCCGGTGACGATGTCGGCGGCGGCGGGGCACGGGAGAGGATCTTCCACGGGGCAAAACTCTGGGAGCCAGTCAACAAACTCCCAATCGGGTGGTGGTGGCGGTATAAACTTTTCCGGGGGTTCGTCAGGGGGGAGTTCCGGTGGGTCGCTTGGGGGCGGTACTGGGGGTGGCGGAATGAATCCGGGACGTGATGGAAGACAAAATTATGGCCCCAGTAGTCCCCCAACTGGGAGTCTTCCTCCGTTTTACGAATCGTTGAAAAGTGGAAACAATGGGAATAATTATAATGCAAGTGGGAATTTTTCTTCAAATTATTTGGTCAATAACCAACACATGGATTGTGATACAGGACAAGAGCTTGCCAATTTGAGTTTAAATGGAGGGCAAAGCCCCCCGAAACAATACTCAACCCTCCAAAACGCCTCCTATGGCATTGTCATGAAAGACGAAGGCGACTTGGACTTATACGAATCTAAGATAGACGCAATGAATCAATTATTGCCAGGGTCGTACTCGGGCTATGACGACTCAATGATGGTAGACATGGTCACGGGGGCCGTCGTTGACCCTTTACAGTTCACCGCCACTTTGACTTTTTCAAGTTCAGCCGAACACGCCCTTTTGGAAAGCCTCTCCGACGCCGCTGACCTGTCAACCTTTCTTCAACGACTTCCAAGCGAAGAAAACGACAATGAAGAAATCATAAACAACGAAAACTCGATACAACAAGTCGACCAAAACCTCGACAATTTCAACGATCAAATTCTCACGAATCGGAATTACGAGGGCCGTAATTACCAATTCTCGAAAATGTACAATGAGACACTCCCCAGTTATCAAAATTCAGTCAACAATGAAAATCTTCAAGTCCAAATGCACCAACAACAGCAACAGATGTTATCACCAACACTGTCGTTTAATGGCAGTGGCCTTGATTTAGATTCACCCACGACGATGTCATTGCCATCTCCGGGGGCGGCGAGTTGTTCCCTCGATGGTCCCCACGACGGGGGCTCAATCAGCCCTCCTGCCAACGTGTCCACCAGGCGCACAAGCACCAGCAGTGAGGCTCCTGCCCTCCACGGCAGGGTAAATGTTTTACAACACAGGGTAAGCTTCCTTGATGCAGGCAAAAGCTCACTCACTCATCACGAGACGAATAAAAGTTGCACATTTCACAAAATCGTAATTTTTTAAAAATTACCTACTATTTTCTTGATTCCAATTTGGATTTGGAATTTTATTCGTCTTTATTTATATAAAAATAAGCAGTGCCCGATTCAATGCGAATGCTATCCCGACATGAAAGTCACTCGTTCCACGTTCAGTTGCTGTTGCAGTTGGGATTGCCGTCCGAGGTGCAGTTAGAGTTCGTCAATGGCGGGCACGGGATTAAGAATCCTTTAGCTAATCAGGAAACGGTGAGGCAAGGGGCGAGGACTGAAGACAAAACCAAAGTAGCGTCGATCACGACCGAGGATGGACAAACGAATTTCTGCTGTAGGATTTGCAACAAGACGTTCGCGTTGCAACGCCTGTTGAATAGACACATGAAATGCCATTCGGACGTGAAGAGGTATTTGTGTACCTTTTGCGGGAAGGGCTTCAACGATACGTTCGATCTGAAGAGGCACACGAGGACGCATACAGGTAAGTCAAATTATCATTATTTATTATCAAGAAAAACTGATAATTAAAAATCCGACTAAGAAAACATAATCGTGTACATATTTTAAATAAACAGGAATGCCTTTTAACTCATTTACGTCAAGATTAAGCCAATTTTATGCATCAGGAATTTTCCATATTATAATTCTTGTGCAGGAAAACGAATTCCTGCGGCTATGTTGCTATAAACATGCTATTCTTGTCTTGATTTTGTAACAAGAGGAATTACTACTTTCTTTGTATGAATTATTTACTTATATTACAATATTTATTATTTAAAGCAAAATTGTGTTTCACTGGTAAAAAAATGTTTTTCTTCAGGCGTGCGGCCGTACAAATGCAGTCTTTGCGAGAAATCGTTTACCCAAAGATGTTCGTTGGAATCGCACTGTCTGAAAGTGCACGGCGTTCAACATCAATACGCTTACAAAGAACGACGGACCAAAGTGTACGTGTGCGAAGAATGCGGTCACACAACCAGCGAACCCGAGGTCCACTATCTACACTTGAAAGATAAACATCCCTACAGTCCTGCCCTGCTCAAATTCTACGACAAGCGACACTTCAAATTCACGAATTCGAATTTCGCAAACATGCTGTTGCAAGTACGTACCTAATTTTTTTTTATTTAATAAATAACTTTTATATTTATTTAATTTATTAAAGTGAAAGAAAAACCGTCCTAGGCTGCAATCCTATCTGAAAGAGAAAAAAATTAGGTTTTCTGTTTGAGTTTTTTGTTTAATTAATTTTTGATTGGGAGTCGAGCTCTTCATTTCCTTCTGTGATAATTAAATTTAATACTTTTTCAATCTTTACATTATCGTAGTAATTATCAAGTTATCTGCAGGATACGAAGAATATTAGATGAACAAATAATTTAAAAAGCGGAGGCGATTCGCGGGACAATATTTAAATCGGGTTATTTGTGCAATCAGGTGGATGGAACTGGGTTTAATAATACTTAAGTCTAGGCTAGTTTTAACTGAACTGTCTAAACACAAAATAGGGGACGTTGCTAGAATTTAGAAAATACGCTAAACGAAGGGACGCGACGTAACAAGACTAAGGGTTTTAGGGATGCGATTTCTGAACTTTAGCACATCCCCGATCATTCTGGTGCTTCATAGGATTGGTTGAGATAAAACTATGGTGCTGCAGAATGCTTTCGTAGATTTTAAGGTGTGTTGTGATCTATTCCCCAATTTGAAAAATTTGTTTTACAACGAATCATTCTGCAATATTTTTTTTAGTCTATACTCCTGTTGAATGTGTTTATATTGTATGAATGTTTATAGTTTTTGTATATAAAATTATTTAGGTTTTATCTACCTTAAGTACCTTTTTTATTATCTTAGTTCAACATTGTTAGCCTGTACAATTATTTAATTTTTGCCAGTGTACCTAAAAAGTGTTGAATTAATTTTATTACTTTTATTTATCTTCTCTTTTTACATCACAGTATTTTTTTGATGACTTTTAGTTTTTGTAGTCTCATTAATTTAATTAATCTCCGACTGAGTATGTAAACCTTCTTTTATTTAAAAAGTAAAACAACAATAATTTAGCTTTAACACTCAATGGACAATTAAATTTATACGTAACTGTATTTATAAACTTCACAAGCAAATATTGTATTTGTAGAAACAAAATATGTAATTTTTCCTAATGTTGTTATATAAATAAATTATATAGAAAAATTCCCTCTTAATTTCCCGGCAAAAAGAAAATTGAATTCCCATAAAAAACCACAGCGAATTTAAACTAGCTAATGAAATAAACGGGTAGATTAAAAACTTGCTTTTAATTAAAAATTATAAAAATCACAATTAGGGAACAAGTGGAATTCATTCTAATCTATATTGTAATTTCACGATAAAATAAAATTTTTGTTTCCTATAGCAATTCTTTAAACATGAATCCCTGTCCGAATCCTTGCCGTATTGTCCACCTTTTTATTCGCCTGCTGTCCCACATTCGTTATTGATCGTTTTGACGTTGCTTGGTATTCCAACTAAAACCATCACTTACCTCACGTCTACAAAGAAGTGTCACTTACCTGTTTATCAATAGCTCGAAATTGCCACGACCAATTCGCCCTATACAAAAACGGTCTATGATCAAATCTATTATCATCTGGACTGTACTGCTCGGCATGATAAGCCGGTGTTAAAACAGTCATTTTGTGCCTGTTAATAGCATAACACCTGAAAAAATGCTTGACTTTTTCGGCCACTTCACGTGGGGTACAATTCCCACTCCACGTGTTTACTAATTTGCAATACATGGAAAAGGGGCCACATTTCTCAATTTTGCGCAATCGGCCGAATTGACTCAACTCGGCATAAGTCATCCCCATGTCTTCCTCGTCGGTTTGAGCCAACTTCCCGTCTTGCAGGGGCTCTAATTCGGCCGTGGGGGGCGCATCGACAATCTCCCCAATGATCGGAATCTCAAATTTTTCTTTAGCGTAACTCAAAAACCTCCTCAAATCAGTCTTAGAAATGCCACCAATCGGGTTAATATCGGCACTCGAACAGTCATATTTCGTCATGTAGCCCCTCAAAGCCTCATCCACGTTCGCAGAGCCTAACACCAGAAGCCCCCCAGGCCGATTGCGGGCCCACAACATTAATTGTGCGAATAGATAAGACAAAACCATGCGAAGCCTCGCTTGGATGTTTTGGAGGGCAAGGTTTTGGCGAGGACAGCCCCCTCGAGAGGCAAATTTAGGAAATAGGCCTGTAACCCCACTGAAAATTTCAATAATGGCTGTTATGGCCTTATCTATGGCTATGTGCATGTGATAACTGCCGACTGAAGCAGCTAAGGTGGCTGCTCGTTGTTTCGTTTCCTTAGAGGAGTTCTCAGTGCCCATGTAACAGGTCACAAGGATGCGGTTGCATAGTTCGGAGGGGGTGCGAGGCGTGTACTCTGGGTCCCCCAAGACACGACGCAAGTCGGATAAAACGCGATTATCTAAAATAAAACAAAATAAAGACAGTCGGGAGGCTATAAATGTGTACCTCCTCTCTGTACTGCCTCTACTAGCATTTTGCACATTGAGAAAACAATGATAGCCACACTTGAAGAGTCTACACCTCCGCTTAAAGGCAAGAAAAAGCCCCCTTGACCCGATCTTCGCAAGTAATCCCACAACCAGCAAGCCGGCCCTTGCGCTATCTCCTCTTCAGGCCGCAAATAGACCCATTCAATGGGGCTAGCAATCGGAAGAGTTGCGTCATGTTCTTGTGACAAAGAAAAATCGACTACGACTCGAGGGTAAGAGGGACTCTCGGCCGCCAAATGGGCCAAAGACCGGATCTGATTCCGGTATGATCTTATATCTTCCAAATCCAGAGTCGCAACAGTGACTTCCTTTAAAGCAAAGATTTATCGTGACCAGAAAAGAAGAAACACGAGTGACTTACAACATCTTGCAATGCAAATTGTTTAGCCCGACTTATGATATTTCCGTTGAGAGCTATGCAAGAACAGCCCCCGAAGTAGACTCGTTGGCCATCACACCCCCGTAGATTACTAAAAATGTAACAACCACCGGCTTTAAAAGTGGCACTTTTGACCAAATCGACAGAAACAAAAGCTTTACGCAGCTCAGTATAACTCCCTGAACCATTTGAAATAATTTCAACACCGTCTAAAGCCATATTAATGTGACTACTCGCCGGATTCCATAATTCTTCGCAGATTTCAAACCCGAGACAAGTGTCACGTGTCGAAATCACCGCATCGCCGAACGGTACAGTACTCTGCCCCGTAACCTTTGAGATCATCCTAGGGAGAAAATAATCCTCTGTTTGTCGATCTTTTTTCCACGGTGCAAACCACCGCGACTCCCTGTAATTCCCGTCATTACACATTTTTAATTTCGGACGAATTAAGAGTATTTTTTGGTTGAGGAAAATGACGCGACAGTTATAGGCCACGTTTTTGTGCATAACGGGCATACCGACATCAATTATCATGTCTTTGCACAAGGGGGCTGTCAGCAACTCAAGGAGGACTTCCCAACAATGCAAAAATGTGTCGCTTTCGTAGAAATGGTCCTCACAACTGTATCCACTATAAAAACAATTGTTGTGACAATTGTTACATAACCTCAGTTTTTGTGATTTACCAAATTTCCAATTCGGGACCAGTCCGGAACGTGGCTCCCAAGTCTTTTGCCTCGAGGATGGATTCGAGGATTCGTTCGCGATTTCCGTCGAAATCTAAGGCCCATTGGTTAAGAGTGGCACACGCTACAGTCACTTTTCGCCCCATTTTTTCACTATCTAAAAACTGGATTTTGCATGAAATGAAGGAAGTAGGAGGAGGGAGATATCACGATATGATTGTTTGTTCGATAGTTCTTTATGTTGACATTTTAAATCTTATGGATTGAGGGGATTGTAAGGTTTACACTAGCGTATCCTGTGGTCTAGAGTTGCTATAAGTTAAAGTACAGAAACTCTATTGTTCAGCGCTGTTGTTGTCTAGTGCCTACAAGTCGCTACAAGTTAACAGTAGTGAACCTGTATTTTAGAGTTCCAATATTAGAAATATGTGAATATTTTAATCTGTGGCAACAAAAATCATCCTACAATCCCCGCCATTGTTGTTTTGACTTGTAGCGCCCTCACCCGGCCTCACCGACGGTTTTTTTTCCCAAATTGTAGTGCAAAAGTGTATCATTAGTTGCATAACTTAGGAAGAGATGCAGAGTTATTTTACCCACTATATTAGTATCAATATCAATCTCAATATAAGATTATTATTTATTATTATTCAATTGATTCATCGAGGTTTCGAGATAAAGAATATCGCTTTTCACAGATTGTTTTATTTGAAAGTTATTGTATATTACTTATTTTTTTTAAGTTTGGCAACTTGCATCAGTAAATCCTTACAATCGTGAAAAAAGACGTGAAGAGATTTGCGGTAATCTTGACCAAAATTGCATAAGCCATGTAATAATGGAATAATGGATACGCGATGTCAAGCAGTAATTACCAAAAGAAGAGTAAATACGCATTATTAGATAGTTTTGTTTTCTAATTTTTAAATAATGTCGCGTTGTTTTACGTTAAGTAATAATAAAAATACATATCACAACTCCCTGCAGCTATTAAGCTTTATGATATTAAAATTTAGACAACTACAAATTTGATTTTATTCGGTTTCAAAAAATATTCAACAATCTTGGCACGGAATGTATAATAAGATAAAAATATAATAAACAAAGATCATTTCATTATTGAGTTTATTACCGTAAACCAAAAACTTAACTTTAGAATAAAAAAAAAATTGATTACATTTGAAATAAAAAAATTTTTTTTTACAGTTCTTTACAGTTTTCAGTTTTTATAATCGATGAAAAAATATGCTTCAGAAACTGAAAAATATTATAATATAAAAATACATATAACAAAAAATCAATATTTTTTATCGACTTTCAAAAAATTGTTTTTGCTAACTTACCCAATTGCTAACTAACCCAATTTGCTCTCAACTTGGTCGTGTTGGAAGGTGATTTTTTTTCACGAGGTTAATGATTCTTATCATTACAAATTTATAAGGTGATGATGATATTAATGATTAAAGATAATAATAGGCAACCAAACTACTCGTAGGTAAGTATAACTAAAAAAAATACGAAAATGTAATAAGAATTTGGTCAGGCTCATTATAGTCATTATTCCTCGTAAATCACCCTGTATATTAATAATTATTAAAATAACAATTAATGTAAACATGTGCAAGAAATGATAAATAAGTGGCATATGGCAAGTTGGCACGCAATCCAATTTTTCCAAAATAAAAATTTATGGCACATTAAGCGTTTTACTCATTAAAAATTTAATAGGAGTATACCTACATTACAAAATTCAAAACGTCGCAGATGGTACAAAGCGCATTGGTCAGAATTTTGAAAAAGACTCTTTAAAAAATTGCCGCATAAACCATCTATTGCGGATAATTTGATTTTAAAGAAAGATAGTCAGAGGTCAATGTAACCGTTGCACAGATGGTACTACCAATCTCCATCGCATGATGATTTGCCTGTCGACGCTAAAATTTCTGTTTTTTTCACTTTTGCAAGGGGTGTTTTGTACATAATTAAAGTGTCAGCGAAACAACTCCTGTTTTCCATTTTAAAATGTTGTTGTTTCGTTCTGGCATCACGAAAACGACGTAAATTACACCGTGATGGTGTTAGAAAAACGACAGTTGACAGATGGGACAAAGTGGCTCTTTTCTCAAAATAAAATGTGATGGTAATGAAACGGCTGCTTTTGCGGGCGGAAACACATTTGTCATTTTATTTTTGGACAAATTGCCAGCAGCGTAGGTGGGATGTGGGCCACTAAAAGCCATGTTTGTTCTATCAACAAATCAAAACATTGTTTGTAAACAAGTAAAAAACTAAAACTTATAATTGTTTTTTAATAAATAATGGAACAATTATTTTTCCTGTATTTTTGCGTATCGTAATGTAAAAAACCCGTCAAATCATTTTTGAAAATTTTTAAACAGTGATTAATACTAACAATTTTGAAAAACTCTAATTAAATAAGACATGCCGTGTACGATCAAAATTCAGGGACACACTACCAGTGTAGTAAAAAAAGAATACTTAACTAAATAAAAATAATAATAACTAAATATAAAAAAATTGCCTTCAAATAAACTGAACTTATTCGTAAACAAATATTCTTTGTGATCAAACAAAAAATAATTTTTTTTTTGGCGTTCTGACTGGTTTCTTGCCATTCTCATTAAACCGCGGAATTATTTATAGAAATAAGACAAAAGTGCGAATCTCGTCCGCCAATAATTCAGTTCGTATTCGTTCTCCAAGCACCACCCCTCGAAGAGAATCGATCGGTGCCGTCACCTATCCCCATGGCAATGTTTTCCTCTCGCCCAACTGTCAACTGAAACCTAGTCCCAAACGCCAAACGATGGAGTGCAGCTGATTAGCAATTTTCCGGAATGGAATCGGAAAATGAAAGCGGCAAAGGTGAGCTTTCGCAAGTTTTTGTTTTGGCCACCTGTTCCAAGCACCCGTGCCAAAAAGATGACACTTGGCATCGGTCTTCAGTATTGTTATGCACTTCTAATTTTAAAACATAATTGAAATAAATCGATTGGAGACATTCGCGTAATCCTTTATTTTGCAGAAGTGACAGTTCAAGACCTTCAATCTTCACTTTTTCCACCGACTCCTAAATCGACCAGTGGATTTTTTTCGAATTTTTACATTAAGAGTAACTTCGAGGACGACCTTGACGAAGTCAAAAAGGATATACCGTCAAGGGAGTTGTTTTCGTTGACAAGGGAAAGCAATTTTGTTCCTCAAGCGCCGAGATGGCCCACCGAGTGCCAAGTTTTAGAGGAAAAAGTCAAACATATACCTTACATACCTCCAACTCCAGAACCTTATTACGTACCAACTGGGAAAGAACCACAACCCAAACCGACCGGAGAGGAATGTGGCATTATTGTTTATCAATACACGCCGATAAGTGCCGTTAATTATGTAAGAAATTGCCACAAGGGCCGTAAAGGTACTATTTTTGATCTAGTTTAGTAGGTCCAGTGTAGGGGGAAGTAGGTATTTACTTCCCGCATGTTTGTGTCCAGAGGAAAACACACTCAGATTCGAATCGCGATTCGAAAGTGGGAATTTAGCTCGAGCGATTCGAATTACTCCAAATTTTTATGAGTTGTATTTACGAGCCGATATGTATACTAACCGGCATATGCAATGGTTTTATTTCCGGGTTACTAACATGAGGAAAAATTTTTTATACAGGTAACACGTTATTAAGCCATTTTCCTTTCTTTGACACTACCATTAATCCCAGATTTTCTATCGTGAATTTCTCCAAGGAAGACAGTCTTTACAACGAAGGAATGCGTCCTCTCATGTACTCCACCAAAGATTCACAATTACACTCAATAGGTTGGAGGAGATGTGGTGATAACATCACTTATTACAGTAACGATGATGTGTAAGTCGAAATAGTGCGTTTTTATTGTAAACTAGTAGAAAAAATTTCGCGTAGGACTCCAGAAGATCCGGAAGCTCAAATGACTTATACTCTTTCGTTTACAATGGAATTTCCGCATGATGACGATGTAGTCTATTTGGCTCATTGCTACCCTTATACTTATTCGGATCTAGAAGAATATCTTACTGAGTTATCGAATCATCCGATAAAATCCACTTTTACAACAATAAGACTGCTGTGTAAAAGTTTGGCCGGAAATAATGTGCATTATATAACGATAACGTCGGCTCCGGTACCCGGAGAAGCTAAAGTAAATTCTGCATAATTCAACAAAAATTTAGAAAAAATTACACTTAAACCACTTTCAGAAAAAACGCTCAGTGGTTATAACGGGTCGCGTCCACCCTGGCGAAACACCCTCCTCGTGGATGATGAAAGGCTTCCTTGATTTCCTCACCAGCGATTGCAGCGTCGCCAAGGAACTCCGGGACAGATTTATCTTTAAATTAGTCCCAATGTTAAACCCAGACGGCGTCATCGTCGGCAATAACCGATGCTCGCTTTCAGCTAAAGACTTAAATCGTCAATACCGAACCGTGATGAGAGATGCCTATCCGTCCATATGGTACACAAAACTGATGGTACGTCGACTTTTGGAAGAGTGTGGAGTGGCCATGTATTGCGATCTGCATGCACATTCCAGAAAACACAATATTTTCATCTATGGGTGTGAAAACAGAAGAGGAGCAGAAAGGAAGTTACAAGAGCAAGTTTTTCCATTGATGTTGCACAAAAACACGGCTGATAAAGTGAGTCCAAAGATAGGAAAAATTTTTGCTTGAGAATTTTTTTTTAGTTTTCTTTCGAGAGTTGTAAGTTTCGGATACAGAAAGCCAAGGAAGGGACAGGGAGAGTTGTAATGTGGATGATGGGGATTGCAAATAGTTATACCATGGAGTCATCCTTTGCTGGGTCGACTCTAGGGACTCGGAATGAAACTCATTTCACGACCCAGGATTATGAACAAATGGCGAAAAGTTTTTGCCAAACTTTACTCGACTTTTATGACGACGATCCGAAAAAGGTACCAAGAATTCGCATTCCAATGTTTGTGTTTTTGATAATTCTTAGTATTTTGGCTTATATTGTATCGGAAAAATAAAATTTTTGTCATAATTTGAGTGTTTTATTTTAGGAAAAGTTGAGAAATAAAATTATAAATAGATTAGTTAAAGAAGGGTCAAATGCGGATGAACCTACAAATATTCACTTGAGTGACTACTCGAGGTAAGTCCAAAAATTTTGAACAATTTTTTTATTTATTTTTTTCAGCGATGAAGGTGATACTTCAAGTACTAGCTCAAATGAAGTTGGCCGTGATGATGAAGAATTTTTTTGCCCAGTTGTACCACCACCATCACCCATCACTTACAAAAAATTTAAACCTAAAGTGTATAAAACTAAAACCAAAATTTTGACGCGAAGTCCTAACGCAACCAGAAAACCACTACCAGTAATTTAATTACTAATTCGGGTTAATTAACTGTTGGAGTTTTGCTTAATTAATTAATTAACCCCAAGTTTAAAATAAATTATTCTTATACAGTTAACTCCCGAACTTTTGAAAAAAATCCCGAAAACTAGCCAACAACTTTTCAGATTTGTAAAGCAACTCTAGGACTGTATTTATCCGAGAAGGACTCCAATTCGGAGAGTACTTCCGAAGATGAGTACAAAATCCAAAAAGTCAAAAAAACGGTACGAAGAAAATCAAAAAAGAAGAAAGTTGGTACCAAAAAGAAGCACCAAACCTGTGCCTTGTCCGACTGTGAAGTTCAATATAAAAGTGTATCCGTGTTTGAGTTGGTCCCGAGTGACAAACTTGTCCAAAATACGACCAGAAGGTCAAAAACACCACAGCCGAGGTAACATTTCAGAGTCACCAATTTATAAAATTTTTCCGAGTTTTTTTAGGGTTGAGAGAAAAAATACCATAGCCCAACAATTATCTGAAGTCCAGGCAAAACTTTTGACTCTGAAAAACAAAATCTGGTTCGGCGTCTCTGATGAAAATGTACCTTTGTCGTGGGGACAAAGCAACTTCACTCCTCCTCCCATTCAAAGAAAATCCCGAAAAAAACCACAAGAGAAAAAAGCTCCGATCAAAACTACCGAAACGAAGAAACCATCCGGGTATACGACCGTAACTCTAAATTTCCCGGCGAATTTTCCCGCAAATTTTTCAGATTGCGAAGGCAGACGGCTGTGGATTGGGGCCACATTCAAAAATCGAAAAGTTTTCCCGAGAGCAAATCAAAAATAAATTGCGACGAAGACGACAAAAAAAAGCAAAAAAAGAAGAAGAAATTCGGAAAAAAGGTGAAGAGTGTCGCTCACGCGAAGATTTTTCTAAATAAAGACTGACAGTGCTTTCACGCTCAAACTCTTTACTGCCGTAGATGTGATATTAGGTGGCTGATTTAGAAAAATATTAGTAGGGCCTTTTTCTAAATAAATTTTTTTTAATTAAATTATTCGTTTCATTTCGTGCGTCAAATGTCAGAGTTAAGTCACGTTATCGCTGCCATTGTGGGGGTCTAGGTTGAAACTAATTGTTCTTTCACTGACGTGGCTTTAGTGTGCTTCAAAATGTCGGTTGAACAGCTACGAAATATTATTTCACCGAAATTTGATCATGAAGTCCTTTCGGACATTGTTGTGAAAAAAAGTAATTTGAAAGATATTCAAATAAAAGAAATTAAAATAGATGAGGGCTCTGCGAGAAAAGGAGACTCGTATTTGAGCCAAATTTGCCGATTTACAATTGACGCAACGGGAAAAAATGAATCGTAAGCAAGCTTTTTCTAACTTATTGTTCCTCAACACTTGAAACACCTTATTTGTAGACATCAGGAAGATAAAATTTCGCTTCCAGTAATTGCAAAGTTTTTGCCCAAAAATCTCGCTCGTCGCAAAACCTACCGCTCCCCTGTTTTTTTCGAAAATGAGGGAATATTCTACGAAAAAGTACAAAACCATAATTTGTTTAAAAAGCAATGATCAAATCATTTGTTTTTTCTAGGTTTGGCCAGCCTTCCAACAGTTTCAAGACTCGAAAAACTTGTCCAAAAAATTCGAAAATATTCCTTTGTAACAAATTCAATATTTCGCGATAAAATTAAAATTTTTACATTTATTTTCAGAATGCTTTCACAATGGATTGACGGTGATAATGATTTCATAATTCTTGAAGATGTGAGTCCACAAGGATATAAAAGTGCAGTTCGGGGCTCAGATTTAGATGAAAATCACTCTGTGGCCATCTTGAAATTACTTGCAAACTTTCATTCTTTGAGTATAGCTTTCAAAGACCAAAAACCTGAAATTTTTGATAAGGCCGCCACGAGTTTAAAAGTACGTTTCTGAATTTTTGTATCATACGTGTATGGTATAATCCCTTAAACACGCTAGATGAATTTCTTAACATTATAGAAATCATAAATTTTTTACAGGAGACATACTTCGCTGAAAAATACCGAAATTGGTTCGAACCTTTTCTCCAAAAACTCTACATCGTCGCCTTAGACGCAGTTGAAAATGAATTTCCACAACTTTTACCAAACTTAAAAAAATACATTTCTGGCGATGTGTTTGGTAAAATTTGCGAGGGTTGCCAACTCCGAGGCCCCTATTCCGTCGTAACCCATGGCGATGTATGGGCTCCAAATTTTTTAATTAAATATGCGGAAAAACATCAGATTAAAGATATAGTAATGATCGATTTCCAATTATCACGATATACAACCCTCGCTGGCGATTTAATTTTCTTTTTACTAACTTGTGTGGACATTAATTTGATCGAACAAAAATGGAACTTTCTGATTGAACAATATCACGTAACTCTAGCTGAAAATTTGGTCAACTTAGGGTCCGACCCGAATTTAATAAAATTAGAAGGGTTACATAAAGAATTGAAGGAAAGTATGAAATTTGGTCTAGGGGTCGTAATAGAGTCCTTAATTATGTCACTTTTGGACGAAACTGAAGTTGGGGACCTTGATGGGATTGAGGTAAAATTTATTAAATTAAAATCTCTCAAACGAAAAGTTTCATAATTAATTTGTAGGGAGATGCAGCAGTGTCAGTGGAAAATGTATGGAAAGTTTTTCCTTTTAAAACAAAATCCAAGCGGCTCAGGTTTGCCCGAATGTTCAAATTTTTGGTCGATAAAAATTTTATCTAACTCTTGTCCAAATAATCTATTTTTATCAAACAATAAATAAGAGTAAATAATTACATAGTCTTGATAAGTAATTTCCTGCAATTATCTAATCAAATCAAATAATAGTTTGAAAATAGTAATTTCCCGCCACAAAATGCCTCCGCAAATCACAATTGAAGATACGTGGTGCAACTCCATTGCCTACAACCCTTCCACTTCTCCTACGCTCAACATAAAAGAAGAAACAAACACCGAATTTCATTACTCTAATCATGTCGATCCAAGAATTGCAAAAAATAATTTCTCCGAAATTTACGCAACAAGTCATTGATGACATAATAAAGAAAAAAAGTGGTTTAAGTGATGTTAGTGTGAAAAAGATCGAAATTGGAGCTTCTTCAAAAAAGGGCGATTCATATTTGAGCAACATTTGTAGATTTACAATTGATGCCAACGGTAAAAACAAAAAGTGAGTTAGTTATACAACCAGTTATACACACTCGTCATAACCTCAATCTAATTCAGGGGGAATGAAGAGTCAATTTCAATCCCAGTAATTGTGAAATATTTCCCAAAAAACATTGCGCGGCGAAATACTTACCGGTCGGCAGATTTTTTCGAAAATGAAATCATTTTCTACGAGAAGGTAGTAACCCAAATTCTGGAGCGAAACATATACATAGTATTTAATTTTTTCCAGGTTTGGAATGCTTTCGAGAAATTTCAAGATGAGGCCAAAATTACGAACAAATTTGACAACATTCCAGCGTAAGGATATGAAAAAAGATTTTTTCAAAGTTAACAGGAACTTCTATAGATTTTTGTCAGCTTGTTGTGATGGCGAAAACGACTATGTCGCTTTGTTAGATTTGAGTTTTGAGGGGTACACAAGTGCGGAACGAGGAGCGGGTCTCGATTACCCCCATACTGTGGCTATTTTGCAAGTGTTGGCCAAATTTCATGCCGTCAGTCTGGCCTTTAAAGACCAGCAGCCCCAGAATTTTGAAACAGCTGCAACATCGCTTAAAGTAATTACTCATTTTAGCCAAGCCATCTCTGAGTTGTTTTGTAGGAAACATATTTTTCCGAAAAGCTACGTCCCTGGTATTCGAACTTCCAGAAACAGGTTTTTGTGGTTATAAGGGATGCAGTTGAGAAGGAGCTTCCAAGGGAATATTTACAAAAACTGGATAATATTATAAATAAGGATTTGTATGGCTTGTTGGTCAAGTCTTGTGAGGTTAAGGGGCCCCTCTCGGTTGTTACCCATGGCGACGTTTGGGTACCAAACTTCTTAATTAAGTATGAGGGCCCCAAATTGGGCAAAATCAAAATGATTGACTTCCAATTGACCAGATATACAACTCTGGCGACTGACTTAGCATTTTTCTTGTTTGCTTGTGTTGATATGACTCTGATTGAGAACAAATATGATGATTTTGTCAAAATTTATCATCAGAGTCTTAGTGAGAGTTTGGAAAAGTTTGGTTCAAGTCACAATTTAGTGACGTTAGACCAGATAAAAAAAGAACTGCTGGATCACAGTATTCTGGGTGTTGGTATGTCTATGGAGGCTCTCATTATGGCTCAATTGGATGATGATGATGTGAGTGACCTAGATGGGATAAAGGTCAGTTTAGATTCATGTGAAATTTACCTCAAATAATTGTGGGGCTTCTAGGGTGACCAAGCTGTTCCTCTGGAAAGTGTCTGGTTGATTTCTCCATTCAAGGCGAAGGAAAAGAGGCAAAGGATCGCGAAAATGATTAAATTTGCCGTCGATCGAAACCTAATCTAGGTTTTTTTTTGACCTAAAAAACTATTTCAATCCTCTTTTCTAAAAAATAAAGTTTCTACACACTTTGGGGTTGTTTCAATTTAAAAAAAATGGAAGGGGTGGCGCTAGTTACGCCGATCACATGTCACTCTTTTATAAAGTTATTTAACCGGAATGAAGTTTCTTTATGATTAAATTACGAAAAAGATGTTTTAATTTAATCTTATCAGTTTTGGTTAAAATTTCATTTTACTGGCCTAAAATTTTGAAAATTGTCAAGTGAAGATCGTACTTTCCGACTGAGACGGAAGTACCCGATCCTGTCAAGTCAGATTTAATTTTTTGTTTTTTTTGACCACTTTAAGACACTCTGCGGGATATTCAGTCCTGTTTAGTGATTTTGTGTTGTTTTGAGTGTTTTTTAGTACTTTTGAGGAGTGTTGTGAGTGTTTGGAGCCCAATTCATTGAATTTTGTTGTGTTTCGGTGTAAGCGTCCGGCGCACTCTCATTCGTTGTTCCCGGCCGAGTAAATCGAGTGTGTGCACTTTTGTTGCGAAAGTATAAAATTTCTTTTTTGATAATAAAAGCGATTTTCAAGTGCTCCAAACACGATGAAGGACTTGGAAATAAGTAAAGGACTCAAGGGCGAGATAGAAACCAACCAAAACCAACTGAAAAATGCTATTCGTAATCATCAGGTAAGTTTGCAGTGTTTGTGGTTTTGCCGTCACGTAAGATTCCCCTAAGAGAACTGCGGGCGTGACAAAGACGGACTGAGATAACTCGTTGGGGCGAAAACTTCCCCAAAACATTTTTGTTATGTAAAGTGATGGACAACTTTGAAAATTTTTGCTTTGAAGGTTGGAAAAAATGAAATTTTGCTTATTTTTTTTACAGAGTTTTGTCATCAGATTGAAGCAGGACCCTGACGTAAGTCGCCAGATTTATTAATAATTTTCTTCGACAAATTTACTATTGTTTTTTTTAACACAGAATGTTGATTTGCAAAAAGAAATCAACAAGGCCGAACAGGAAATAATCCTCGTTGGTATTGCACAGGTACGTATTTAGGGGACTCAGTAGCCTCCGAAACTTTCTTTATTAGTTGTGGCCTCAATTTTTACTTAATACCCCTTGGTAAAACAGTTGAATTAACAATAAAATGGCCGTTAATGTTTCCCATGCTGACTTGATGTGAAAAATATAACAAGTTTCTCCGTCCCTTTCTCTCATCTATAAATAAAATTGTTTTTGAAGTTAAAGCCCTCGAAACAATAAATTTACTAATGCGCAACTTTCAATTCATTATTGATCTCAAAATCGTCGATTTTTTTTCGGAATTTTAATTCCGCCACCGTTGCGAGATTTATTGATTCGTGTTCAAGATTTTACATAAAATACACACGCAGATGCACGTTTATTTGAGGTCAATAAAGACCATTATCGCGCAGTCCTCCACACTTATCGATGTTGAATTTAGGTTATGTCAAGAAATTTATTTCTAATTTTTTAACAAAACGGGTGTCTTGTTTTTTCCTGACCTTGAAATTTTAAATAAATATGGCGACGACGAGGTGGAGACTTGCGGAAATAAAATTCTTAATTATTTAAATTCGAGGCGAACGGGGTTAAAGAATCTTCAAGGTCGAACATCGGTCGGGAAAGACCCGAGTTCAAGTCCGGCTGAGGACGTTTTTTTTTTTTAAATTTACTTGGCGGCAGGACAAGAATGCGGATTTGAGTGATAAGATAAGCTTCAGGAAAATAAATGCTCAAGTTTCACGTTATTTAAACTCTGATTAGTGCTTAGCATTTTCGATTACATTTGAGGTGAAAAAAGCAGCAATGAGCAATGAGCAGAATGAAAAAAAATCAATTTAGAGTGTTATAGTTATGACCTCCGGTGAATCACACTAATTGAGGGCAACAGTAGAAAAGTGGTCACATTAAAAACATACAATTGTTTTATTTATTATACTTACCCAGAAAATTGTTTTTGGTAAAAATTAGTTTTCAGGATACTAGTTTGCAAATAATGATTCACTTAAGTGTAAAATAGTTGCCATTGAAGAACCATTGAAACAATCTAATTACTAATTAGCTAATTTTTGTTATTATTAAATTAATTTTTTGACATATTTGCATAAAAAAATGCAATTATTTTTTGTTTCTTGTAATCTGATTACTATTGATTGATTACAACAGGACTATTCGTAAACAAATTAACCCATCGATTCTTACCAGGAGGATAAATAATAATCGAATTGATTTTAACAGTGCTTCATCCAAAGAAAGAAAAGTAAAGGCCAAGATTTTTAACAATTAAAAAAAAATCTCAGTTTTAATAAACATTTATTTTTTATTGTATTGGTATGTAAAGAAAAACTTTGACAATTTTTTAAAGTTTTTTGTGCTTCAATGAGGTCTTGCTATGACTTTTTGGCAGTTTGATCAAGAGCCAAGCCTTTATTAATTGTTAGAATATTTTTTACTGATACGTCATGCATGTTTAATAGAATTTTTCCAACACTTATCTAAAACTGATAAAGTTTCTTTGTTACGTAAACATTTAAAAATGATGAGGAAAGTTTATATGACAAAATTATTTAGTGCATTTTGTTTTTCTGATATTTTATTAAGAAAAATTAAAAGTTTTGTAAGCATTTTTTGAAACTGAATATAAATGTGAAACGAGAAGTAGAGATAAAGTTTAGATTACATTTCCTATCTACGACTGAGTAATTAGAGTTATCAAAACGCTTTGTGAATTTATGTTTGAAATAAGAGTGTTTTTAATTAAATGAAGACTTATTTTGGGATTCATATAGTGATTTATATTTTTTTTTACAAAGTCTTAATTATGGTAATTGTATTACCTGTTAAATGGTTAAAATTGTATTGAAAAAATTTGTTAAAATATTTATAGAAAAGCTTACTTGAACGCCTCCGCGAGGAATACAAAGCTCATCAAAAATCGCTCAAAACAAACATTACAAAAACCAGCATCGAGGAGAGACGATTTAATCTAAGTACGGCCTTGAACAGAGCCCGGAAACAAAACATGTAAGTCCCCGTTTTCCTCATAATACAAAAATTTAAGAAAAACTTAGTGTTTCTCGCCCTACGTCCATCTCGGTGTCTTCAATCTCTGACGATTCGGTGGAGGCAGCTTCTGTCAATTCTTCCCCAGAACACCACACCTACAATCCTGTGGACCCCCACGAAATCACCCAACCGGAATTTCTCAACAATTTTGGACTCGTCACTCACGATGTATACAAAGAAATGCAAAATAAACGAGTCGAGAGGAAACGGCGGAGTACTGCTAACCCCCATTTCCTCTACGGGAATAAGGGCTGGGATTTCCAACCGGTAGGTGTCTTTATGTCCTTCTTCCTCAAATTGAATGTTTGTCCGTAGAAAAGAAAACGTAACTCGTATTTGTATTCGTCGATTTCGCCCCCGAATACGCGTCAAGCCGTCCGAAAGAAGAACGAGAGGGTGTCTCCGCCTCCCACAAATGGAAATGCTAAATTGCCGTTTCCCCAAATTCCGAATTTGCCGAGCGGGCTTACGATTGAAAGGGTTAGCCCTTCTAGCTCGTCGCCGGATTCCAAGACTTGCGTGACTTGTAGGCAACCAGGTATTGGGGTTTGATAACCTCCTTAACCGTTTGTATAATTGTTTCTTGTAGGTTTATTGACAACTTGTGAGAGTTGCACCAATGGTTTTCACGTCAGGTGTCACAATCGACCTTTGGCGCAATCCCCGAGACAATGCCCTCGATGTATTAATAAGGAAGTGCGCACTGTAGGGTCCCTAAACGTGCCTTCGGGAATGAGCGTGTCTTATGTGACGCCATCCGAAGTTGCAGGTTAGATAATAATAAAAAAAAAAAAAGAATTTTTACTATTAGTTTCTCTCTCCTCTATTCCGCTTTTTTCAAAATTTAATTTTGGCTCGATCGGATGAATTTTATTTTTGCAGAAAAACTAGAGGAAAAGAAAAAGTTGGAAAAAGTTAATAAGACACTTTCAGCTGAATTGACCCAATTGCAGGATCGACACTCGCAATTGACGATCTCGTTGAAACGCCAGAAGAGTCAACAAGAAGAATTGTTAATGACGCAACAAACGACAGAGGAAAAGATTAAACAAATTTTAACTTTTATTAGTAATGTTAAAAATGAAATTGTTTCTAAACCGACGCAATCTCAGGCTCAGACATGAAAAAGTGTGATCAGTTTTGTTAGCAAAATGTTATTCTTATCAATATTGTTAAGACTGATGGTATATTTTGTTATAAGAATTTGTAACGAATTAAACAAGAGGACCATATTATTTTATTTACATGTTTTATTTACAAAATTCTCTTCCTACATCCCGTTCTTCTTTTCTCACCTACTTTAAATTTTAAGTAAAAGTTTCTTGGTTGTGAATCATAATAAACCAAAGTTTTTGTGGGTATATCGTCACCAGGAATATTTGGGATTGACGTATGCAAAGCTTTATTGAGGGTTAAGCAGCTTTGTGGTCGACCGTAATAATTACTACCCAGAAGATGTAGGAAAGAGCCGTATTCAGGAATTTTTGTGGTGGGCTTTTAATTTATTACAGGCAAACATTTGGGAATTAATATATTAATTTAATATTAAAGTGATAATGCAGATTTATAAAGAAACAATCTCAAAATATAACAATATTAAAATTAATTTAATTTTTTTTTATGAAAGCCCAAAAACAAATTTCTGTTACGGACCATCTCTTCCTACAAACCTTTGAGACGTGCCTGTCCTAAGAAATGCAAATTTGTTTATGGCATCTCTACAGCAAGCCCCATGAACCACCGTGGGGGGTAAGCGGCTTATTCTATAATGCGCCTCAAATATTGTTGGTGACGACTATACCAGGTGAATAAAAAGTATGGAACGAAGCGTTTTTCTCGTAAACTAACCACTTTACAAAAAAATAATAATTAGTGTAGCGTAAAGTCCAATTAAAATGTGACCATTTATCAAGAATAACATTTTTCGAAATTTCTTTTAGTTTTCGGGTTTTAGAAAAAAAAAAAAATTTAATGGCAACCCACCATGAAAATTTTTTTTAATTAAAGATTATGATCTAAAAACGACCTTTAATTAAATAAAATTGTTTTTTAGCCAGTACTTTTTTTAAAATTAATTGTTAAAGTTGCGTTCCGAGCTCATCACGAAGATATTCCGAACTTAACCGAAGTGGTTGTTTCATGCTTTTCATCATGGGAGAGCGCTGATTTCTATGCAGGTGCTTTGGGGTGGTTTCGAATGGACTAAAAATAGAAGAAAATGATTTGTTTTTACATTTTTTGATCCATC